AGAATTTTATCATGAAGAGGATACCGTTCTGTAAGATGAAAGCGAAGAGGAAATATCGTAAGCCCGTCTTCTTTCTCGCTTCTCTTCTGCTCGCCTTCCCTCCTCTGTTACACAACCGACAGATGGAAAAATTTCGAGTTATCACGGATAATATAATCGGCGATGCCTCTCTCGAATCTCTCTGATTCTGATTCCGCTGTTTTTCTGCGCGGTATCTAACAACCAGTTGGGACGATAACAAATTCTTACGTCACGGCGATTTTCCTGCACGGCTCGTGTTTTTACATGAATTATCGCCTCCTATTTGCATATGTCGCGTATTCGCGTGCTCCGCTACCTAGAGCTTCGTGCCTGCATGCATGCATGCATGCATGCACACATGTCGTATCCATCGCAGACAACACGCGTGCATTCGTCGAATCGACAGTAATTAAAAGATACGAAGGTTAGAGCGAACCGAGAATTCATTATCATCGCGATAAGAAATCCTCGTGTTTCCTCGTGTTCGATCACTTTGACCTCAACAGAGATTCGTAATCTCTTCGAGTTTCTTTTTCTCTTCTGCAGGAGGGAGAAAAAAAAAAAGAAAGAAAGAAAGGAAGAAGCAATCGAATGTGGAAAGCGAAGAAGAAATTTAAATGGAAGCTATCTTTCCGATCGTTTAATTAAGAGTATTTCACCATCGAATCAGATTATGTCGGAATGCACGAAGATCAGTTCGAGAGTATGCGCCCCTTCCTTTTCCTTTCCGCACATTTCTCCAATCCTCTTCCAATCATTTTGATCTCATCGTTTCAGAATTATTTCGAATTTTTCAAAACGCGTAAGAAATGAAACTCTACTCGATCAAGAATCTATCCATTCTTCAAAATACCAGATAAAATATTAGAGCTTATAAAGATGAGTGAAAGAGGAAGGAAGGGTTTAATTATCGTGTACAGGTGAAAGAAGAAAGGTGCAAAGAGAGAAAAAAGGGAGAAGAGACAAGAGAGGAGCAGCTGCTGAGCCGTTCCTTTTGACTTTCACGAGCAACGACGCTTCGTTTCGTTTTTTCCGCGGAATGCAACGCTCGTTGTTTCTAATCCACATGTTGAACGCGGCCGAGAAACCAGCTCACTCCATATAAAGGGGGACGTAACGATTACGCGCCATTATTTACATGACGTTCGTGCATCGTTCGCGTTGTCACGACAGCCTCGCGTGAGTATCGTGTCCAACCCTTTTAAGGATATTCGCCTTGTGGATGATGATGGCCGACTTTGCAATTGGGAAATTTTTCATAAACGCATAGATCGCGTGTCTCGACAATTTCTAAGATTCCTTCGTCGTCTCACCTTCCTCGATGGATTCCATGGCGTTCGATAAAGAAAGAGAGAAGTTCTGGTTTGTTTAAATTCTCCATGACTTTCAATCAATTGAGAAATGGAAGGGCATATAATATAATGAACGATGAAATTTTTCGTTGGAGGAAAAGTGAAAATTATGGGCGTGAAAAAAAGATTTTTGTTTCACGTCGAGAAACATAATTTTCTATCTTCTAAAACGGTTGGAATGAAATAAAAAAAGGAACGTGCGCGGATTTATTGAGTGTTCGCCGGGAGATTAAGGTGTTTGAAAGGCGATTTAAATTCATGAATTTAACAAGGAGGATCGATCGATAATGAAGTTTGTTCGTGCAGATGAATCTTTTTTCCTTTTTAGATGCATAATTTATCTCCAACTGTTTCTGGTAGGTACGATACTTGGTATTAAAATTTATTTACCAAGTTGATTTCGATCCGATCGACTTTCGATTCGAGAAATTCGTTTTATCATTCCCTCCTCTTTGCGAGATTAAATATTATCCTTCCTCTCTGAAAAGGGGGAATGAGAAGAATAAACTCGATATCTCGATACTTTCGTTTTCCGATGAATTGTAGGTGTAGCCTTAAACTATATTATAGTTCGAATAACAAGAATCGCAAATAAAGTGAGCGAGCCTCGATAATTCCGTATCCTCAAAAAAGGTCAACGAGGTAGTCCCAGATTCCTGAAGAGTCTCGATGCGGAGTTGTACTTGCATTTCTTCAACCGATCCCGACAAACCGATAAATTTAATAAACCGTGTGTCTATTACATGGTCGAAAATTCGTTCCAATTGTACCGTGGCCAAAGTAATTTTAACACGTCGTTCAAGATCCTAAAACAGCACTGACTCGCAACAGCGGTTTCAGAAGAGGAGAAACCGAGGCAAATCTTAAGCGTATTTTAAACGCGTTAAAACGCGGGGAAAACGAGTTGCGCGTTCTTCTTTTTTTTTTCCGTTATGTCTCGAATCCAATTTTTCATCGATCTTTCTCGTTTTTATTACCTATTCTCAAATTATCCAGAGAAAAATAATTAGAACGTACAAATTAGAATCTTCTTTCCTTTACCTTGGATCGCTCGAAATTGAAGAACGCTTTTCCATTCTTTTTTCTTGACGATTTTGATCGATTCGATCAAAGTGTATCCTCTTTGTATCCGCTTATTAATTTCTAATTTGTCAAAAGAAATTTTCAATTAACGAATTCACTCTCCAACTCTGTAAAAGAATTTGATCCGTGGGTTACAAAATGTCCAGGTTAATCGAAGCTCCTTCCTCCACTTAGGTTATGTTTAAATAATAAATGATTTTCACGACTTAAATATCATCTGAGACGCAACCCTTTGGCATTAGGCCTTTGACTAGGCACGCGATATCGTCAAACGTGGCACGACGAAATGTCTGGTCCTTTGTTGTCTCGATCCTTGCGCAACGATCAATTAAAAAAGGAAAAATCGAACGAACAACGGTGCAGGTGAACACGAATGTCTTACGCAACGCGCGCTCCTTTCGCGCGGAAAACGTATTGTTCTGAGATGAGAATTGAGCGCGAGAAATCGTGTCTTTTCAACTTCGAATGAAATTTTTTTGATCTTTCAAAAAAAAGAAAGTTTGCTGTAAATAATCGTTGTGTTCGTAAAATTTTATAAATAATTAATTATCAACGCTGGTTCATTAACAATGTTGTTCGAACAATTTATTCCGTTTTTACAAGTGTTTCGATTCCCGAGTCTTTCTCAAAAAAGAGAAACGCATTGCCTTTTTCTTCTGTCCACCCTTGCATTTCCTTATTTTTCCTAGCATCGTGTGAAAAAAAAATTTTCGGCCCAACGTGAGCAGAGTAAGTTGAACCTCCGAACTTTCTCGAGGGTGAAAGTTGGCGGATAATATTGTGCCCAAATCGAAGGATTCTTCCGCCCGGGCCCAAGATTTATGGCACGATTTTCGCCCCGAAAGTGATTTGTGACTCTAAAACTGGTGTCTGCTAACTAATTACTTATCGAAAAAAATAAATTTTCTCAGAAATAACGAAATTGTAAATCTGTCAATGCTCGTGATATACAGCTTACAGCATGATCGGTTGACATATTGCGTTAATTCAATTTTATATATCAGATGCCAAGAGTAGTTTTGGATCGGTAGAGAGCGAAGATATTCTCGGAATGTTGAAATATCTTTCGTCTTTCGCTAAACGCATCAAGCGCATTGCGGAATACAAGGTTGTGTTCCACGTGTATAAATATCCAATATTTTTTCCTTTTTGCAATAAGTCGTTTTTTCATTGATCAACTCAAACAATATGTACCAAGAACACGACCTCAATAAACCACGTCGAATGACCTTGCATATCAATTATGTACGACCGCAATGATCCTGATCACCTTTTCTAACTTTTTTACGACCTCGACGGAAGGACTGCGAGAATACTTTTATTCGTTCATCGAACGTTCATCGCTCCAACGCTTTCGCTGATCAATCATTGGAAATTGGAAATACAGCTATATCGCTCTATTAAAGAGAAAAGAACAAAAAAATGTGAAGAATCGCATACGTGAAATCCGAATAATCAATCTGAAAGAAATCCTCGTATCAACGGTAATTTATTCGTGTTGCGTGACCTATCCTGCGCAACTTTTTAATTAAACTAAACGTATTGAACGTTGAATATTTCTATCCCTTTCTTGACAAATCATCCGCTTTTCAATCGTATCGTTTGTTCGTCGTTTCTTTCGATCGATATCGATTTCATTCACATCGTGTCAAAATATTTTACTCTGATCTTGATCTTAGCATTTTCGTCGTAGATATCGTTAAAAAAAAAAAAAAAAAAAACGATAGCTCAGCGTGTATCGATCCGTGGCAATTTCGAATAATTCGAGGATTATTATTATCGCTGATAAAAATATTCGTACGTTGCGATAACAAATTTTCGCGAGTGTGGAAGTCGAGAGAGTCGTTACACTCGAAATATTTCTATCTAATTTATATCGTGGAATATCGATTCGTTCATTAACGAGTGAAATATATTGCTTGCTCTCCGTTAATTTGATCAAACGATAAATTTGCGTGTATATGTATTACGTGTGTGTGTGTGTGTGTGTGGATGGATGGAAAACAGCGAGAGAGAAAATATTTAAATTACTATGATACGTTCGTTCATTTCGTTATTAAATTGTAATTTCGTAATTCTGTATTAGAAAATTCTTTATTTGAAAAATATCCCTTTTCATCAAAGGAAGATTCACTTTATACTTCGCTCTACTTCCATTAAGTAACGATTTATCTCGTTACGCGTAATAGTTTCTTTGAATATGCAGAATATTCATGCTCCATATAACGAAATATAAAAGTACAATATAAAAGTTTGATTCGATTAAATTTTATCTCCATAATTGTATATTTACTTGAATTATTATTTCTTTGACACGTAGAATTAAATTAGACCTTAAAAAAAAATGTTCATTGTCCACAATTCGTTTCCAAATCTTAATTATTAATAATCAATATTATAAAATAATTTGCATTCGTAAAATATTATATTTTTTTTCCTCGATCGTCCATCGTTGCAAAACTTTCTCAAATTAAGTTGACTGAATAAAAGTAGGAGATTGAAACAAGAAAAAGATGGAAAATAAAAAAAAAAAAACTAGTTTAGATGGAACGAACACGGCAACACCGGTGCAAAACAATGGCCAGACCGAACACGCGGCTGGTGATTTTGATAACGCGAGTGTCGGAAGCGGAAACTCGAATCTCAGCACTGGCGCGCTACAGGTAGGTGCAACAAGTACGCAAAATCGAACTCGAGTTGTCAACATTTCCAACTGTATTACCGCTGTAATAACCGCTTATGTGTATATGTGCGTGCGCGCGTGTTTGCAGAACATCAGAGAGCAAATGGCTGCGTCGTTGGAACGGATGAGGGAGCTGGAGGAACAGGTCAAGGCAATTCCCATGTTGCAGGTAAACACGGCCGCGATAATTTCACCTCCGATACGTTTCCCTCGCATCCCTGCCTATCACGCCCCACACGAAGAGAAGCGTGATTGCTTCACCTTTAAATCGTAATTGACCGCCCATTCTTTTAATTTAATCCTCACCTCACTCGAGCCGAAAAAAGGAATAATAAACTTTTTCGAGAAGAAAAGAGGTTAAATCAGAGGCCTTCGTTGTTTATTGCACTCGAGAAATGCACGTTTCGTGTTCGAGTGTGCATGAAACACGAGTTGTTTCTTTCGGTTGCGATACTTCCGTCAAGGAAGCGTAATTGCATCGTAGTTGTAAACGATTGCATTGCAAGTTTCGTGCATCGTGATTATCGGTGACGCAGGAAGTGAGGAACTCAATCTCGTTCTTACGATGCATAAACTTTATCTTTGGAAACTTTCGATTCTCAAAACTTCATCGAGCTCTGCATTTCCAAATTCGAAACTTCAAATCACTTCGATATTCCAATGGAATATCGTTGAAAAACGTGATCTTTACATATCTTACGAGTGTTTTTATGTAAAGAATGATCGAATTGCGTTGGCAAATTTCGTGAAGATCTTCATCAAACTTTATCTTTGGAAATTTCTTATTTTCAAAACTCCATCGAGCTCTGCATTTCCAAATTCGAAACTTCAAATCACTTCGATGGCAATGGAATATCAAAAAACGTGATCTTTATATATCTTACGAGTGTATTTTTATTCGTGATGTAAACTCGATGATTCCATCATTAAAAAACATGATGAGTATTTTACAAATTCTCCCACTCGTAAACAACGATCGCAGTTTTGGCAAGTTTCTTGCATCGTGATTATCGGTGATACAGGAAATTTGCCCCGGAAGTGAAGAACTCAATCTTATTCTTATAATCCACAAACTTTACAAACTTTTATTCTCAAAATTCCATCGAGCTCTGCACCCTCAAATTCGAATCTCCAAATTCCTTTGATGCCACTGGAATATCATGATTCTTATGCATCTTACAAGTTTTTTTTTATTCGTAATATAAACGATGATCGAATTCCCAAAATTTCATCGAGTTCTGCATCTCTTCAATAATAGAATAATCATTAAAAAACATGAATCTCTTTGAATATTTTACAAGTTCTCCCACTCATAGTGTAAACGACGAGCGAATTGCGTTGGCCGAATTCTTTCTTGCACCGTGATTATCGGTGCCACAGGAAATTTATCCCGGAAGTGAAGCTACCGAAGAACCCAATTTCCTTCTTATAATCCATAAACTTTGCAAACTTTATCCTTGGAAATCTTCGAAAATCTTCCAATTTCTCTTCATCGAAGCTCCGCGTCTCCAAACAATTCAAACTTTCAAATCCAATCATCAATTCAATGCCAATCATTAGAGATATCATTAAAAAAAAAAGTCAGATCTCATCTTCTACACGACCTTTCTTTCGCTCGCAGGTGCAAGTGTCGGTGCTGAAAGAGGAGAAGCGTAATCTGCTGCGGCAAGTGGACGAGCTGAGCAAGGCGAGTCAATGGAACGAGAGCGGGCTGCATAGGTACCGTAGCCAGTCGTTCTCGGAACAGCGTGGCTCCCAGCGAAATCTGAGGAACGCGGGTACACCGACGCGGGACATGGGAACGATGTGCGGCGCGATGACACGGGACGTCGGTGTTTCGCACCAGCAGGTACGCCGCCGACTTCCGTTTCACGCCGATTTATCGCCGCGGCGATCTCCTTTGTTCTGTTACAACAAGGCGGAGAAACCGTAAGAAGGAAACCGTTGAGAGAGAAAAATTTGCATATCGCGATTCACGGCTACCCTTTTTAATTGCACGCGTGGAACGATTGGGCTATCGCTTTATTGGATGTATGCATGACCAATGAGAAAGCGTGGAAAACTCTCTCGTCCAATTTCAAAAATCCGATCCTTATTTTCGTCGAGTGATTTCATTTGCATATTTACCTTATTAAACGGATTCTTCTTATGAATATATGCGAATACTTTCGAATTTAGCTATTGTTCAAGATTCATAACGCAGGAAGAAAGAGAAGAACGTCATTTTTTTTTTTTTCGAATAGCGGTAAAGCAACGAATTAATCGGCGTGCATAAAAGGAGAAAAGGTATAGGTTTTCATTGGACAGTTTATTTTTATTATTAAAGTGTTTTTACGAGGGCCACCTCTCGGCATCTGCTGATTCTAATCACGGCCTCGATTTCCCGACGTTTGTTGTATTTATAACCAACAAATGGGGAAATGGGTCGTCGTAGTCGTGTACCATTTCCATTTGCATCACACTTTTGCTTCGTAATCGAATTAAAAGTCGATGAAAACTCGGGGAGAAGGGAGAATTTTCTCAGTGTCCGATAACTCGTTTAACGTAAATCGAAGGAAACTTTGTATCGAGACTTCGTTAAGCGACCCAGCTACGAGTCGATTAATCAAGTTCCGCTAGTCCTTTCGCGAGAAAAAGTAGTATTTTTCGCTGTAAAAGAAAAAAGAAAACGTTTATTACATTAGAATTCGTGATAGATAAATGAAAAAAATGGCTTCGTATTATAATAATTATTATATGCATACATAATAACGTTGCACTGTCATACGATCAGGTTCGAACACGAGATATCGGCATGATAACGAGCACCCCGATAAAACGACCATTGGAACGGAGTCAATTGCAAATCGAAGAAATAGTACCTGAAATGAAAGAGCGGAGCGCGTTGTTGGACGATCGGACGTCGTCTAGCTTCGATAAACTCTACTCGAGCGATTCCCGCGACACTTGGAGATCGAGCTTAACACGTAGCCAATTGATGTACGAGGAAATAATACCGGAAGCGAGGACGATGAGAAATCGTTTGAAGAGAAGTCCGCTTCAAATGGAATCGATACCACCGACCGGCCCGAAGCTGGCCGTAGAAGCGAGGAAATTTCGCGATGTTGGTGTTAATACGAGGAACAAGCTGAAACATCTGGTGCACAGCCGATTCGTGATCGAGGATATTGCGCCGGAAATAAAGAGAGAAGTTAAGAAAAGATCGTGTGGAACAACGACCGGGTTGAACATGAAAGACATCTTGACGAAGGAAGACGTGGCTGTTATAGTCGATGACGCTCTCAGAATTTATAAGAGTACCCTCATCAAAGATACGATTTCCAGGGGTTGTCAATGCACGTTGGACCAGGCGAAGATGATCGAGAAGAAGGACGAGTCCGTTCAAGTTGCGGAACCGTTCAAAATGAGGACGAACGTGGGTGTTACGGTGAAGCCAAGGATGTCTGAAATTGGAATCGAGGTCAGAACTGGCCCCGGAACGAGAACAATCGCCGTTGGTCCCGATCCGTTCACAGTTCAGTCGTTGTCCTTACATTCGTTGAACTCGAGGAGTCATTCGTTTAATTATGGTGACACGAAAGTGAAAAGAAAAGCCACCAAGTCTGTTAGCGTGATGGTGGACGATTTAGTGAGGACGACGGTGAAGAGTACCGACACTTCCGGTTTAGCGCCTAGGAACGGGAATTTGGTACGTCGCCGATAAAAAAGAATTCACCGACGTCTCGGTTGGCGAGTCGATCAAACCGCATATTTCCATCTCGTGCGCCGCCAACTATTGCGATAACTGTAAAGAGACCATAAAAAGTCTGGCAAAACAGTTCGTCAATAACGCGGAGAATAATATGAATCATCAGAACACGAATCTCGTCTCGAGGATACCTAGACCGTCCCACATACCGTTGAACAACACGATTGATTATAGAAGACAATTCAAACGACAGGATACGTACACGAAGATACCGGCCGCGGGTGTAATCAGATACGATTCCGATAACAAGGAACAATATGACAACAATAATCGGTTAGTTAATTCGTTTAAACGTAATATATCCTGTCATTTTTTATCAAAATCATTTATACCCTTCTCAATGAAATATAACAAAAATACGATCTCGTTTAAACGCTTGGAATTTATTATATGAATTATAAACGATTAAAATAAATAACGTTTATAAAATTAAGATTTATTGTAAAAAAAAAATTATTGCATAGGATCATTCATCTCTGCTCTGTCTATTCATCAATATAGTACTTAGAAGATGTTTACTACGCCATCTATCGGGTGGAGAATTTAAGCGGAGGGTAAAAAAGATAGCAAAGAACTTGACATCATGATGAATCAATCTACCGCGTAGTCAGTGACAATCAAGCGCATGTCAAGGATTTGTTGGTTTTTTCGATTCCATGGTTGCGCGTCCTATGCGTCATAAGTGTTTTTACGGAGCAGAGCGCAGAGGTCAAATTGTAAATAACGTTTCAGAGGTCAGTGACAGAGAAAGTGCATTTGAAATCGTCGCGAATTCGCTATGGTGAATAAGTGAATCGTGTATTCGATCTAGACAAATCCATGCTGCAACAGCAGCAACAACAACACTCTACCCGTTTAGTTAACGATACCGAACTCATCGAATAAATTCTGCTTGTTTCGTTGAGAAGGGGTAATTGATCTCTTGAATCATTTTATTTTATTTTATTTTATTTTATCCCTTTCGTATAGAGAGATTTAAAACGCATTTGTACTTTTTTAAATTTATGTTTTTTTTTATATTTTTTGTAGTATCCAGCAGTTGCAAGGGGAAAAAGGAAAAGATGAAAAGTCAGAGGAAATATATAATACGGAAAAACAAGCAGATGATGAAGAAAAACATGAACTTCCAGAATCTGCTTTATTTCAACCTATACAAGAAAAACCAGAAAAAAAGTTGAACCTTCAAAAGAGATGCAAGCCGCCATGAAGGTTCTTAACGATAGTCTTAAGAAATCTCCTAGCAAAAATATCTCTCATCAAATGAAAAATGCAATTAATATTATTCAACAAGAATGGTTCAAAATTTCAAGCACAGTGAATGCCAATCCTTTAGAAGTAGAAGATTACCTTGATTGTTTTGAAGAATGTTCAAGTTCTTTATTGGAATATATAGTTAACATGACTGACTCAAGCGGAAACACTGCGATGCATTATGCAGTTTCTCATGGAAATTTTGATGTGGTGTCTATTCTTCTTGATTCAAAAGTTTGCGATATTAATAAAGCAAATGTAGCTGGATATACGGCTGTGATGTTGGCAGCTCTTGCTGAAGTTAGAAATTCCACTCATGCTTCAGTGGCTAATAAATTATTTCAGCTTGCAGATGTTAATATTCGAGCAAAATTAGTAAGTATTTTATGTAATTATGATTTTTTTATACTAATTTTTCATAATCTTTAAAATTTTCAGCATGGTCAAACTGCCTTGATGTTGGCGGTATCTCATGGTCGAAAAGATATGACTCAATTACTTCTGGATGCTGGAGCAGCAGTTAACATTCAAGATGAAGATGGCAGTACAGCCTTAATGTGTGCCGCGGAACACGGACATACGGACATTGTACGATTATTACTTGCGCATCCAGACTGTGATCCATCGATCGTTGATATAGATGGTAGTTCCGCTCTAAAAATAGCTTTAGAAGCGGGTAATCGAGATATTGGTGTATTACTTTATACCCATGAGCGCGTAAATAGAGGAACAAGTCCATATTCGTCGATGAGACGAAATAGAAGAGGTTCCAAACCAACAACACCTACTGGACCTTCCCCTTCAGCCCCAGTAAGCCCAGCTCCGTCTCGAAGAATTCATTCATCAACGGTTTCTCTAAATTCTTCAAAATATTCTGCTAAATAATTCTCAAAATTTAAAGACTTTTTTTTATCGATATTTAACATACTAGCAAATAGTTTGGATTATAATCGCATTATATAAATAAGCAATAATGCAATCGGCGTTTCGTGTTTCCTATATTTATTGCTAACATATTTTAGTATTTATCGTCGATTTACAATATTTTAAGGTGTTAATTTTTTAAGATAAACAATCATGTTCTTGCCTAATCATTCATCAGCCTCAACTCAAGCATTTAATTTAAGATATCTATTTAACTGCTCAACTTTGTATACAATTATTCAGAAAAAGTTTGAGAATGCTGTTTTGTAAAGTTAGTTCATAGGAAGGGTATATGTGAAACAATATGTTTCATATTGTTAGTTAATAGGAGGAATTTGTATAAAGTTTAAAACTTTTTTCTAGGTGCTATCAAAGTAAAAATAAATCCATTTTCATTGTTAATAAATTTTATACAAACATGTCACAAACGAATAAGAAATGTCAGTGACAAAAAATGGTTCAAAATTTTATTCTTAAATTTAAAAAACCATATGAAAGTACAAAAAGTTTCTTATAAAAACTCTCTATATAAAAACAAGTCACAGTGAAAAAAATCTAGTAATGTCTTCCAACATCCTGTGACATTAAACATTCCAAAAAACAAATTGTCAACAATCCGAATTTCTTGTCACGTTTTTGAAAGTTTTCTTACTCATAATATATAATTCGAGAGTCAGGCCTAATTTTCGTTTAATCCTCGGGATCAAACTATCAGGAGAATAATTGTGTACTGATACAAAATGTAGAGAACAATACAATATGTATAATAACTATATGGTGCACAAACATGAGATTTATAATTCTCGTGACTAATGTTGAATTTATATACGAAGAAATTTGTAGAATCTATCAATGATCGTTCAATGTTGAAGTAAATATGTTATAAATATAAAAATATAAATATAGCATCTGTGAACGGCAACAAAATATTAAAGGGCATACGAAGGAAATTTAGTTGAATAGTTGTTGAAATTATTTCAGGGTATATACAAAATAAAATATAAAAATATAGTTTTATTTCACTTCTCGTTTATCCGTGTTATGTATCTTCATGTTGTAGAAATTGGATATTTAAAATAATCTTAACGTTGAACATTTTCTTACTTCATTTTCTATAGGGTTGTGAATATTTAGAAATAATAAACGTATTTAAGTTCAACATCAAAGATTTAGGTTTATATTTTAATGAGTATTCCTATCATTAAAAACTTATATTAACATTAAGTGACAATTACGTATCAAAGATAGTACTGAATCAAGTAATAGACATCTATAAGAATTTAGGAAGTAGATAACTACTTTTCATTGTTTGTGCCTTTATATTTAACATATTGTAATTAATAATAAACTCGAAAAGAAACAACAAAACTATTGTATAATACTATAATTTACCAAAAATTAATATAAACAATACATATAAATCAATGGAATTTATGTTATAAACTTATATGAAACCATTAATCTTTATTAATATATGTACAAACAATAATGACAAATAAATTTATGATCTTGTAAAATATAATGTTCCATAATTGAAATATATTATCCATAAAATTTTATAAATTTAAGAAAAATCAATAAAAAATTATTTATTTCGTACAAATACAAATATACAAAAAGGATACATTATTTTTCATTTTTTTATATTTTTATTTATATACATTTATTATATAATTTATTACATTAATTACAATTAATTACATTTGTAGATTACATTTTCATAAATAAAATTATATTTATATATGAAATATATAATCATTATATATCATTTATATATGAAATTATTATACATTAAATATTGTGCTTATAATATTTATATTTTTTACATAAAGAATAAAAAAATTCTTAGTTTTGAAAGAGAAATGATAAAAACATATTCGATTTACATCTTATCTAGTTATGCATTTAACAGTAAATATGAACAAAAAAAAATTAATAATAGAAAAAAGACAAAGATAGGATAAAAATTTTAAAAGTATCAACATCAATCTCTTATCACGAAAAAAAAACAAAATTACAAAAAAAAGGAAATAGAAGATAAAATTAACCAGTAATGTCATCTTTTGAGTGTTTCAAAAACAAGTATACTAGAATAAGAATTAACGATTAGTGCTATCTTTTGAATGCTAAAATATCTTTTTAAAAGTAAAATCTTTGACATTTCATCTTTAACAAAGGTTTTTCGATTGATATTCAATTGATCTATAAATTTCAAATTTCGGTAAATAGGCAGATCGTCAAACAATTCAACTATGGATTTAAATAAATAATAATTTGTATCATAAAATGACTTATCTATAAATTTTGGAATATAACAACTACAATATAATTACAATTACAATTTTTATTTTTCTGATATTCTTTCCATATATCATAAATAAATATCTTATAAAAAAAACATTATATAGATTTTTATATTTAATCCTTGTTCTTTACCCGATAACTCAATTTCTTTGGGCCACAATACAAAAAGTTCAGTCACGCCAGACTCGTCATTTACATTTGATCCCAATGAAATATCCACGGAGTCAGGTGCATGTTGTTCATGTTTAGTTTTCGAAAATAAAGAACCAGGAATCATAACTCCTGCCTGCTTGTACTTTTTGACCCAAATTTTTTTCTACGAAATATCATTTGTGTAAGACAAGGGACTCATTTTTCTTTAATGACTTATGAGGAAAGATAAAAGAAATTTCTTTTATCTTTACTCAAAAATGGCAATATCTATATATTACATCATATCTGTAAATAAAATTTTTTGAAGGACGAATGTTTTTTTTTTAAGTGATATCCATCTTTTTATATACCAATTTATTTACAATTTTCTGATGTATTATATACAATATATATCAAATACATACCATTATTCTTATTGGGAGAAAAGATATAACATTATAGCCATCTATCGAGATAGATAAAAAATATATTTTCAAAGGCAAAATAAATTAGTGCCATCTTTTGAGTGTTAAAATATTTTTTTAAAAATAAGATATCTTTAATATTTAGAAGATGGCGCTAAAGGTCAATTCTTGTTCTATCTGTTTTCCTTGTATTTTATTTATGACACTCTGGAGATGGCGCTGATTCTTTAATTTTTATGCTATCTCTATCCTATTGTTTCTTCTCCTTGTCTGTTATATTTATCTCTCAGTGATCCATATTTCAAAATATAAAATACCATTAAATATTAGATTTCTCCTATATCTCGTCTATAGATATATATATATTTATGTGTAAAAAATCAATATTTTGTAATTTTTTTAGAATTATGAAATTTAAGTTAAAATTTTCAACAAAAATTGAAAGTTGGCAATACTGATTACACATCATAACGTGACGTTGACATGTATCGCTGCTTGTAACATATACATAACGTGTGTTATTTGATTGCTTCATTGACAGTTCTTTTTGCATGGTTTGTAAATATGTTTTCATGTAATCAATATGTGTGAAAATATTTTATTAAACTAATTTATATTAATTTTGTGAATACAATATAATTATAATAAACTGTTTATTAAAATATTACGTGCAACATACCACCTTAAAATTCAAACTATGAATAGAATTAAAATATATTTTTATTATAAAAATTATATTATGTTTACATATTCCATTATTTTATTGAATTTTTTGAATAAAAAAGATTATAAAAATTAATAAAAGATAAACGATAAATATTTCAAAAATATTAAATAATATATATAACTAAAATTATTCAACTTATATTTCATTTTATTAATATTTCGTGGCACTTTTATTGCATAGATCTACTGTAATCTTTGTTGCAAAAATATCTTAATTAACCGCCAAAATTGAGAATAAAATGCGAAGAAGTCATACAAGTAGGTTAACCATTGTTTAAAATTTAACATGAAATTTAGTTACTAGTTTTTAATATGACTTAATTTTATAATAGATTATTCCTATGAACCTTTACCAACTACATCAAGCCATGATGGCTTGGAAGATGAAAATGAAAAAATGACAGAACATTTAAAGGATAAAATTTATGCTTTAAAGTCTTTGTCAATTGATATTGGACAAGAAGTACAATATCAAGATAAATTACTTCGTGGAATGGTGAATAATTCATTAATATAAATTAAAATATATATGTTAAAGTAAGAAATATATACAAAGAATTTTTGTTATCAGGATGAAGATTTTGAAAGGACAAGTGGTTCATTAACAAATTCAGTTGCACGTGTATTGCGTTTATCCAAAGGAAGCCATACTTATTATATTTTATATTTAATATTGTTCTCTGTAGTTGTTTTTTTTATATTATGGATAACATTGAAATTTTTTTAATTAAAACATTTTTATACAAAAAAAGAATATTGAAACAAAAATTCATTCCTATAAAAAATGTATTCTTTTTTGCACTCATAATGATAATTTTCAAATGATATTCAATATATGTATATAAAAGATAACATTTTTAACCTATTTAAACTGTACAGTTAAAACTTATCGAATTTTATGTAAAAATTCTATTATACTATTTGTAAGAATAAAAAAATATATATATATATTATGTTAAAGCAGCGTGCATGTATAAATATATGTACATTTAATATATAAACATATTTTAATTGTTGTAAATTAAAAATATTTGTATACAAGCACAACTTTGGAAATTTTAGCGTTATAACGTTTAAAAGTTGGCAACGTTGAATTGCAGAGTTAAATAACCTATTATAATATAAAGATATAATATTCACATGTACAGTGACTATCAATGATATGTCATTAATGTTTTTATGTGAACTGAAGTAGATTATATATCTTTTGAAAATGAAACTAAAAAATTTACGAATAAATCCTTTGAATCGAAAAGAAAGAAAAGAAGAAGAACCAAGCACTTCAGAAAACAAAACGTCGGAGGTTATTTTACCATCAGATAGCAATTTTAATCACATAAAGTGTAAAGCAGTACGATATAAAAAATGTCAGCAATTGATGAAAGAAAAAATAAAAGCCAAAAAAGAAGCTAAAAAAAGAAGAATTCAAGAAGGAGTTCCAAAACAAGTTCCACATACCATTGAAAGCTTAAGAGAGAAAGATGAAACTATTGTCACTGGTAATCTTGATGATGAAGAAAATGCTGAACTTAAAGTTGATTTTGAACATGATGAATTTGCTGCTTATTATAAGCATACTTATGAGCCTAAAGTTTTGATTACATATTGCGATAATCCAACAAGGAAAACTAGAATTTTTGGTGTAGAACTTACAAGAATAATACCAAATTCAATTTCTTTATATAGAAATCGTTCTGGAGTGAAGAAAATGGTTAAAAGTGCTATTGCAAGAAATTTTACAGATATTATAATTATTAATGAGGATCAATGTAAACCTAGTATCCTTTGTAAATATTTATAATAATTTTAGAAAATTTTTTTATTATTTTTCTTATAAGTTTTCTCAGATGGTATGTTAATTATTCATCTGCCTGATGGGCCAACAGCACATTTTAAACTTAGTAATGTTAAAATAACTCCAGAATTAAAACGTAGTCATAAAGAAATTTCTAAACATAGACCAGAAGTTATTTTAACTAATTTCACAACTCGTTTGGGTTGTACTATTGGTAGAATGTTAGGAGCATTATTTCATTATCAACCTGAATTTAAAGGCAGTAGAGTTGTAACATTTCATAATCAACGAGATTATATATTCTTCAGACATCATAGGTATGATTATTTTAATAATGTGTTCAATAAAGAAAGAATAACATAAATAATATTACAGGTATCAATTTGATCTTGAAACAGCTAAACCTAGATTAAGAGAATTAGGACCTAGATTTACTTTAAGACTAAAATCTCTGCAACAAGGAACATTTGACAGTAAACATGGAGAATATGAATGGCTCATTCAAGGAAAAAGACATGATATGGAAACTAGTAGAAGAAAATTCTTTTTATAAATTTAATGTAAATGATTTTACATTAAAGAAAAGATAATAAAGATTTTATTATCTCAAATAAACAGTAAAAAATAAAATTGTTATAAGAAATATAGAAATTTTTATTTATTAAGCTTTTATAAAATATAAACTTGTAATAAAGATATTAAAATTAATTCTATAACAAATATTAACGCGAAGTCTATAATTTATTTCTTTTTATATATTACGTTTTTAATAGTTTTCGGTTTAAATTGTTCATAAGGTATATTTGTTCGTTTTAAAACATAAACTGCTGCTTGAAGACCACCTATATTTACACCTAAAGTTTTTGTCACATAAAATAAATCTCCAGCTGCTTGTAAAGCCTGTAAAAAGTGAATATATTAATCAAAATTTAGAAAAAATTTGATGTAAAAATTTTAATAACATACCATATTGAAACTACGTCTATCATAAGTAAGCAAAACAATCCGACCCGTTAAAAGTTTTATAATTCGTCCTAATTCTATTAAAAATTGTTTATAAAGTATTCTATTATCCATTATTCGACCACTTCTTTTTCCAAATGGCTATAAAAATTATTTGTATTTAACAAATTAAATAAAAAGTTTAATATATAATAAGAATATATTTAAATATTTGATTACCATATCGGTAACAGCAATATCGATAAAGGAATTTTTAAATGGTAATTGTGATACATTCCAATGTAATAAATCAATTTTACATTTAGAAGAAGATGCTTCAATGTTAGATTTTGTTCTACATACAGCTTTGGGATGATTATCTCCACCAATAACATATGATTTAAAATATACTAAAGTTGCCTAAAATTTATAATATTAATCTTTTATCATATGAAATATTAAATTTGAGATAAATATATTGATGTTACCTCAACTGGAATGGAACCACTACCACACATTGGATCAATTATTATATCTCCTGGATTTGGATGAGCTAATCTTAATAAATTATAACATACTGTTGCTCTAAGGGTAGTTGGTCCAAAACACATGATATTCCTGTGATGTTTAGATTCATGTGTAACACGTAATTGTGTTACCAATTCATCTATATTATAATACATATTTATTTTTATACTATAATAACTACATATAAATTTATATTTTACTTACTGTTGATTAATTTACAGACTATTTCTAAATAATATGCAGATAAATCTACAAGCCATAAATATTTATCTTGCAGTTCTCCACCAATAATTCTAGCAACATCTGATGATTCAAATATATGTTTGCCAGTTCTTTCACATGTTACTCTATATCTTAATATTTCATCTTCTTTAGCATCAGATGGATTTTGACCTCTTTTCTTTCCCTTAGGTATAGTAGGTGCAACAATTGTATTACAAAGTTTATAATCTTTTTTTCTTAGATTATATTCATCAATAGTTGGATATATTTTTCCTTGGAAACCAGTAACATGTTTCCAAATATCTAGAGCCTTTTCTAATTTCATGTTATTATGCACAGCACTTTTAAATAATTGCAAATCCATTTCTTTACTATTTCCTGAGAATTCAAATTTGCTAACATCTGCGACAATAAACATATTATCTATTGATCTCATTTCTTGTATCTGGAATTATATTTTGAATAAAATAATATTATTCACATTTATTTGATATAGTAAAATATTTTTATTTCATGCAAATTGTTAAATTTTATGCCAGAAAACAAACAAAAAAATAACAAAAATAATACTACTTGTACAAATTGATTCCAATATATATTGAAATAAATTTTGCCGCGTTCTTTGATAATTGTAACATTTTTACCCAATTTCTCTTTGCATTCGTCTATTGCTTGCCATTCAAAACCTAAAATTATATCATTTTATAGGTTACACTAAACAATCACATGTTTTCGATTCTCATTAATTAAAGAATTTTTAATTACCTGTATCTACAGTCGTTGCTACCATAAAAACATTATCATTTAATGATGATTCTAGAAAAAGCTTTTGCAAATTCATTGATTCGTTATCTACATTCATGTCAAATTTAGTAAATGTAAATTATTCTTATACTATACTATAAACACGTGATTAATATCAAACTAACACCGCGTATCTAATTAATCAAATAAATTAAATTTTATTATAATATCAATTACAGATCAAATTAAATCGTATTTAATATTATTTTGACTATTTATATTTTCATTATATGAAATTTAAATATAAAATTAAATGATTATGCTTTCATTTACAACCATAATTAAAAAATATTAACAATAAGAAATTCTTCAATAATGTAAAAATTTTTATACGATCAAGATTAATCTACAAGTGAAAGGTAGTAAAAATCGCGCGGTTGCGAAGTCCATTTTTGTGCAAAATAAAGAATACTTCTTTGAAGCTTATGAACTCCTGATACAAGATGTCAATTTTGTTGAATAATTTACAAAATTTCTAACTTTTGCGAAAGATAACAACAAATACTTATCAAATATATTGCATGTTAAAAAATGCTATATATACATTTATTAAAAATGTGGGATACTTTTGGAGGATAGACTCTAAACATCAAAACAATGAAAAAAGTTCATATATACATATATCCGATATGGTTTAATTAACGAGTTATAAGCATTTTAAGTATTAGATAGAATGAGATGGCAAAAGAGCCAAAACGTTCAGTTGGGTGTGCGGCAGTATCATATTGCAATGTCGCTTACATAGGGAAATCTCAATCAACGTAAATAAATATATTTAAAATAATAAATTATTAGAAAGATGAATATCAATTAATTATAAATATATTACAATTATAATACTATTTATAATTATACTAATAATATAATTAAAAAAAATACATAATTAATTCCTTTTAAATATAGAATTTTTATTTTTATGCGTATATATAAAATAATTATCAATAAATAATATATAAATAGTATATTTAATATATATAATAAATAATTATTAATAAGTAATATTTTATGATATAATAAATAGCTTTATTATATTTACAATAGAACTAGGGGATCAACGATTTTATATTCATAGGAAATAATAATGCATCTTCTTAATTATTTATTTTTTCCATTTTAACTATTAAATTCGATCGATTTTTTCAATTTTTTATTTATTTCAATTTACGAATTATCTTATATTAAATTTTCCGTGTAATATAAATAAATATCTTTTAAAAATACTACGTAAGTTTTTTGTAATTAATTTTAATTTTGTGTTTTATGAAGATAAATATCTGTATAACGTAATAACGAAAAATCATCATTCAAAAAATTTATTATTAGATATGATATTATAGAGATATTGCAAGTTTCTAGTGCATTATATATAATATATATATCAAATACATATCGTTATTCTTATTGAGAGAAAAAGAATAACATCATAGTCATCTATTGAATAAAAAATCAACTAAATTAGTAAATTATATATATACTTAAAATTTTTTAAGAAAAGGAATGTTATTTTATAAAAAATTCCAATAAAAAACAAAATAAAATATTTTTCTAAACTATAAATATAAAATATTTATAATATTATTTGTAATTATACTAAAGATAATTAATAGGATAATTAAAAAAAAGGATATACATAATTTAAAAAAAATTCCTTCCGAATATAGATTTTTTATTTTTATGCGTAAAAAATAATTATTATATATAATATAATCAATAAATAATATATATAAATAATATTTAAACTTTATTACGTTTAATACAATAATAGACAGGATTAGTCGATTTAATATTCATAAAAAATAATAGTTTGTCCCTTTTAATTATTTAATTTCTTCATTTAAATTATTATAAAATTAAAACTAATGATCCTTCAATTTTTCCAATTCTTAATTCATATTATATTACCATTTGTGCATATATTATACAATTATTACAGTTTTTAATTGAATGAAAGTTTATTTGTATATTTTTCTATTCTAAACAAAATTTTATTGAAAATAAATCATAGATTTATATGTACCTTCTTTATTAATTAATTTTTCTATTAAAAAAAAAAGATTTACACTTTTTTATAAAAATGTAATCATCTTTTAAAAAAATTATTGATATAGAGTATTGCTATTACAACTAATATTCTGATGAAATATATATAATTCGCGCGTTATTATTATTATTGGGAGAAAAAGAATAACATCATAGCCATCTATCGAAAAAAAAATCAACTAAATTAGTAAGTAATATATAATAAAATTTTCTAAAAAAAAGAAATATTCAAAAAAAAGTTATTTTATAAAAATTCCAATAAAAAGTAAATTGAAATATTATTTTAAATTATATAAATATTATATTTATACGATAGATAACCATCTATCGAATATAAAATCAACTAAATTAGTTTAAATTGTACTTAAAATTGTATATCTATTTTCCAAAAAAAGAAATGTTCAAAAAGAAAAGTTACTTTATAAAAAATTCCAACAGAAAATAAAATAAAATATTTTTCTAAATTATAATTATATTATAATTATTTGTAATTATACCTATATTTTTCAAAACAAGAATATATTTGTAATAGGATAATTAAAAGAAATAGATATATAATTTAAAAAAAATTCCTTTTAAATTTAGAATTTTTATTCTTATAAAATAATCATCAACAAAAATATAAATAATATGTAAATTTCATTATATTTATACAATAAAAGTTAAAATTAAGCAATTTTATATTTATAAGAAATAAATAAGTCATCTTAATTATTTAATTTCTTCATTTAAGTTATTAAAATCAAATATAATCTTTCAATTTCTCCAATTCTTATAATTTCTATTATATTATATTTCTGTATATATTACACAATTATTATTATTAACACGATTTAAAGTTTTTATATTGTACAAGTCCTTTATATAAATTTTCTTATAATAAATAAAATCTTATAATAAATATACATAAGATCAATATATTTTTTGTTGTGATTTTTATGTTTTTCATAATAAAATTATATTTTTCAATTAAAAAAAATATAGTTCATCTCTTAAAAAATTATTGATATAGAGTATTGCAACAAATAACATTCTGATCAATTATATATATGATTCATCCTCTTATTATTATTGGAAGAAAAAAAATAACATCGTAGCCATCTATCG